TCTGCTTTTATAGAGTTATATACTATACTTTTTGGGAGCTGAGAGCAAATATCCAGGCGAGGCTGATTCTGTGTCCATGGACCACTCTGAGCAGCCCTGATGTTCTTACTGACCATCATTTGAACTTTGACTTGGCTGTTTTGTTTTAGCATGAAACTCCACATAAACTCATTCACTCAAGTGTCCTCTCGTGCAATTCCAATTCAAACATATTTTTGAGTCACTGAGATGAATATAAATAATATATGGGGAAAGAGAATTTATAGACTCGACATTCACATTTCCTTTTATTTTGTGTTTACAAAGGGCTGAAGTGACCACAGGACACCACCATATATTAAACTGACACTCAGAGATAAACTCAACTGGAGTGAAACCAGGAAGCTAACAGCCTCTGAAAATCTGCTGCTGCAGTTTCACTTTGTCACCATGAAGCCCTGAATAGGCATTTTCTCTCACATTGAAGACATAAGGAATCTTTTACTCACTTTCAGAAAAAAAAAATTGTTCAACTTGAAGGGGTGTCCACTGGCCATATCAGGAACAGTTTATCATCAGAATGAGTAAATGACAGTAAATGATTACCTAAGAGAAGACATTTTTTCCTGTACCCTCTGATGTTTATAACCCGGAGCCTATGTGTGAAATTGCTAAAAGGCAGATAGATTAACAGGAGAAAAACAGTTTATTTATATGGGTGCTATGTATGCATTCATTGTTCTGTAGTGGTGTGTAACTCCAAGGAGTAGTTAGGATTTGGAGCTTATCCATTACCATCACATCATACCCCATACATATATATACATATGTGTGTGTGTATATTATAACCCGGAGCCTATGTGTGAAATTGCTAAAAGGCAGATAGATTAACAGGAGAAAAACAGTTTATTTATATGGGTGCTATGTATGCATTCATTGTTCTGTAGTGGTGTGTAACTCCAAGGAGTAGTTAGGATTTGGAGCTTATCCATTACCATCACATCATACCCCATACATATATATACATATGTGTGTGTGTATATATATATATA